TCTGCTTTCTATTATAGGCATTTTGTGACAAAAATTACAACTATAGCAGAACCACTATCAGCATTGATTGAAACTGAATCCCATTTTGGAATGGAATAAAGACTGTACACAGTCATTTCAAGTGCTAAAATGTACCTTGGTTAACATTCCAGTGTCAGCTTATCCTATGAAAGGCATTTCATTTATCTTACATAAAGATGCCAGAGAGTGAGATTCAGAGCAATGCTATCACACATACAAGATGGCATTGAGCATTTATAGCATATGCAAATCATAAGCTAATGTATTGTTGAGTATCTGCTTGTTTGTTAATTTCCGGTATAAATTCTCTCCGAGGAACTTCAGGGATACAAGTCCTTTCTTAATTAAAACTAGTTTATTCTTTCTTGATACAACTTTGTAATACACAAAATTTCCACAGTCCCTTTAAATTTAACAATCTTTATAACACACGCTATACTTTTGTTGATATATTGTGAAAGAGCTAATGGTTGAAAAAGGTCATCTTATTTTGTTTTAGTATTTTTTGGAGCAACTGGATAATCAAACAATTCAGGTTGTTTTGTTTTAATATCTTGTGGAGCAAATATATGTTCAACCAGTTCACTTTATTGTGTGTTAATATCTTGTTGAGATGCTTTGTGTTCAAAACGTTCACCATATTTTGCTTAAACATCTTTTGAAGAAGCCAGATGCTGAAACTGTTTATCTTATTTTGTGTTAATATCTTGTGGAGGAGCTAGACATTTGAATGATTCATTTACTTTTGTATAATATCCATTAGAACAGCTACGTGTTCAAGCAGATCATCTTATTTTATTTTAATATCTAGTGGAGCAGTTATTAATATAAAACAATATCTTGTGTTGGATCTGGGTTTTGGAACACGTTATCTGTTTTTTATTTAAATATTGTTACACATCTGCTCGTTTGATAATTTCCTTAATTTCTGATATAAATCCTTTCCGAGGAACTTCAGCAATACAAGTCCTTTCTTAATTAAAACTAGTTTATTCTTTCTCGATACAACTTTGTATTACACTTAACGACTTTTATAACGCACGCTATAAATCACAGTGATTCACACACTTTACTTACGGTGCCTACTTTTTGCTTGACTCAATTATCTCTATCTTCAATCTATCTGCATATCTCGCTGGCTTTCTTTGCCAGGCTTATGTACTAAAAAAAGAGGTCATCTAGCAAATATTTGGAGATTCGCGGGGTTCCCCGATAATTCTAGAAACTCCAGCGTGCATGCTCCAAGCGTCACACGACTTCCGCTGCCATAACAGTATGCTGATTGCCACAATGAAGGAATAGTGGTTCACTAAGCATATTAATTGCTATTGGATGGATATAATACATGTCATTAAGAAACCTTGAAGGTTTGATTGCTTGTTGGATTACAGTTTGCAGGAGTACAATCTTACTTTACAACATCGACTGAGCCAACTGCATGAAAATTCTAGAAACTCCAGCGCGCATGCTCTAAGCGTCACACGACTTCCGCTGCCGTAACAGTATGCTGATTGCCACAATGAAGGAATAGTGGTTCACTAAGCATATTAATTGCTATTGGATGGATATAATACATGTCATTAAGAAACCTTAAAGGTTTGATTGCTTGTTGGATTACAGTTTGCAGGAGTACAATCTTACTTTACAACATCGACTGAGCCAACTGCATGAAAATGTAGATGAATTTTCTTGCCACATTGTCTGATTGTCAAATTTCTAGATCTCGGACAGGATGCTGCTGTGACATCTAAGGTCTCAGCCATAACAAAGAACCATACAAGTAACATGGATCCCACTGGTGAATGGATACTGATTATGCCCAAGGAAAAGCTGCAAGAAGAACAGCTAAAATATACAAAATATGTAACCTCTGGAAATTACTTGATTAATTAGATATCAGAGTGAGTGCACTATATGGTTGTTACAACCCATGATGCAGCTAGTAGTCCCAAGAGCTTTAAGAGTCTAAATCTCTGAACTCTACACAACACACATATTGGAGGGCATCAAGGAGTATCTTACAGTACACCTAAGATGTGGAGACATTTTTTCTTGGCCACAAGAACGTACCAATGGTGTACACATTGTATTTCATGTGTGGCTCAGAGAAAGAAACATCCCTGCCAGGAAAAATCAACAGCAAATTGTTGGTTCTTCATTCCAGACATTACCTGACCTATTCCCAAAACTGACCACAGTAAGTGATACAACCTTGTGCATGATAATCAATGACAACACTAAATGGGCTGAAGCATATTTGCTGAATGATATGTTAACTCAAACTGTCATAAACTGTTGAATGAACAGTGAATAGCTTGCCTCAGAGCAGCACCAGAGGAGATCCATATAAATAAAGGAGCAAACTTTAACAGGCAACTGTTTGCCAAGTTGTGTAAAGTACAAGTTGTGATGAAAAATCATACTGAATCTTATCATCCTCACCTCAGTTCGATGGTATGGCTGAGCAACTACTCTAAATTGTGAAGAACATGCTTCATAAGTTTGTAGGCCTGGATCAAATTGACTTGGATGATCACCTGTTATACACACTGATGACACATCATATGTATGTAGAAGATATCAGTTATGCATATGCCTGGATTCTAAGGGTGGCTGCCATTTTATTCTCTTCTGTCGGCTTCCTCAAAGAAACCAAAACCTTATCCACAAAAAACACTTCAAGCAATTGCAGTCTATTAAAGATTTAATACTAGTATTATCAACTCTATAAAAACCAACGTTAAAACAAGAAATATAACTGTTACAGCTTAATTCTGCAGTACAGTGTTTAAATAACACCTATATATGAATAGTGATATTTACAATCTAACATCATGCTATAATCATTATATGACAGCTATACATGAAGAAGTGTTTTTAATAACTAAACATCAGTATTGAGAAAATTTCAGTCTTAAGGTATAAAAATTGAAATGTACTTCTAAAATAAGTTTTATAACCAAGAACATAATAACAGTATAAGAAAGAAACATAAAATTTGGTAAGAAAAACCAGAGTAGTTCAGAACATAACATGTACCTGTAATTCATTCTGCTCCACAACTGTCAATATTCTATGCAGCATAATTTATCTGTATTTTAGTGTATTAAATATAAATGTGCTTTACACTAGCTGACTTGCCACTTTATTAAGACCCATATATACATACTTGTAGAACCTCCATTTGTTTATGTATGCAAAATAAACTAATCGTTTGGTGTGTCAAGTGACACCTACAATCTTATAAATGCAAAGATCACTCTTTTGAAACAGACTTAATAATGGGTGCCCATCTAGCAGGATTGTTGTGTGAAAGGCTTTATTTTTCTCAAGTCGTTTAAAGACAGCGCCAGAGTCTATCACTAAGAAAATAAAATGAAAATATTTATGCCACTAGGAATAGCTCACACTACCAATCAGTCGTGACTGACTAAGTGAAAAAAATGATTGGACAATCTTATAAGATACAAGCAATATTAGACTGTATCCTATTTGATGATTCTCTCAATAGTAGTATGGATTGTATAATCTGTAAATGTACTATGTGAAGGACATTACCTAAACTTCAATAACAGCTGATAAACAGTCCAAAAACCAATTATATCATATGTAAACAAGAAAGTTTGGATTCAGTAGTGCTTAGAGTAAAGAATGAATGACTGGATGTATGGATCACATTTCACCCTTTTCTAAATTGGCAGTAGTGTAAAAATACTGAAGAAACAGCATGAGACAATTGATACTGATTATTAATATTAACTTCTGATCAGAACAAGCTATGAACTTATATAAAAACTTGAAATCAACGTGGCTATTAGTATAGCTAAGTAAATATACTTTTATTATGCTGTTACTTATATACATTAGAATGCATTGTTTCATCAGTTGGGTACCCTTGCTGTTAATGTGGGTTAACCAGATTTAGGTTTGTCTTAAATACATATATTAAGTTAACAATTCAAAACAATCTCTATAATAATAATAATATTATACTAAAAAGTAATAACATTCGATACATTAAACAGTTTAAACAATACTGTTAATGAAAGTAACAATAAATAAATAAATAGTACTGCAACAGTACACATTGATAGATTTAGTGTACTAGAATGTTCTTATGGCTGAGTCTTTTGATTTCTTTAACTCTAGAACACCAGCATGGGTTACTATGACCCCACACAAGTCAATCCTGTATACTAAACTAACCATGCTGGCTTTCTAGTGTTAAAAAAAGTTAATAAAATTCAGAGCATTGTTGCTGATCATATCCAGCCAATAATTCTACATATCTACCCTGATGGGTAAAGCTTTTCCAAGATGATAATGAAACAATTTACTGCACTTATATGTCACACAAAATTGGTTTAAAACACAAACTAGTGACTTCAGTTATCTTTATTGACCAGCTCAATCAATAGTGTATCAGCCTGATTACGATTCTTTAAAATAATAAATGAGTGAAGTGCACATTTTCATTTAATTTTTTTGCAAGGTTTCAGCCAAAACAAATTTAAGTAAAAATGGGGGATTTACTAGTTTATTGTATATCTATTAACACTACCCATTTTATGACATTTGTTTGTGTGTAATTAAGCACAAAGCTACAATATGGGCTATCTGTGCTGTGCCCACCATGGGTATCAAAACCTGGTTTCTAACATTATAAGTGTGCAGACTTACCACTGTGCAACTGGGGGCCTGGGCCCCATGTTATGAGCCTCAAACAACATACATTAAACCTTTGAAACAAACTTGAACATTGGGTATCGTAATCCTCTGCCAATACCTATGAACCGACTGCATGTAGACCATACTCTTTGATGTATGGGCTACATTCAAAGAAATTTGCCATGTGGAGTTTTTACAACAAAGAGTCTAGGCTATTTTAGTTGTAAAAGTGGTAAAGTCTGATATTAGCTGGTAGTCCTAATAAAATATCCATTCAGTGTATATTTCACTATTAAAACCACAGGACTTACCTCTATCTCAGGGTACTGATCTTGTGCTTTTTTCACCAGGCTAAGTACTTCGTATACATATCTTTGAGCTTCTTTATCTGTGCTAACAATCGCTCCAGAATAAGCTTTAAACAACACCTGTGAAAATAGTTCAAATGAGAATATAGGCAAATGATAGTATCTATTAAAAAGCTCATCAGATCCTTTATACTTTAATGGTACTAAAATATATTTAAAATATTGTAAAACAAAATTTCACTAATAAAGTTGTGTGAAAAAAATCATAATTGAGAAGCATAAAAAAAAAATTCCACTTCTTATTAGTTTATAACAGATTACCTAACCTATAAAAACACAAAAACAGGTCAGTTATAACATTACCATAATTTTCATGGCCTTGCTTTGTAGAAGATAATTATAGAAGAGACACATAGAAACAGATTATAGATGATATCATGTGTACAAGAGATTATCAAAATATCAATATTTGTATTTATCTTTATGGCAAGGTTACTAAGGCTATCTGTCACCATCCCTACATTTGAACTACTTACCAGAGGGAAGGCAGCCACTCAGTAGTACTCTAACACCTGCCATTCACACTAAGGGATTGACTGTTATTATTATAAAACACCCAAAGTGCAGGAAGTATATAGTGTTAATGCATGGATTCAAACACAGCTGTCATCTCCAAAATCCAGATTTGCATCCATTATCAGAATAATAAAAATATCTTGAACTGTCCTTGAAAAATCTTTACAAAAGCTTCTCGTTCATAAATCCACCTACACACTTAGATTCTGTTTGACTTATAGTGTTTTTATTTCCTACAGTACATTGACTTCCATGGGAGAGCCAGGTTTACATACAACCTTTTAAGTATCATATATTTAAACATAATATATACATCATGTTTATGTACAAGACTAATATAACAATAAACTTTATACTATTTGGCTATAAAACTTATTAAATTTGAAAAATATGAGTTTTAACTTAAAAAATAAAATAAAATATAAGGCATGCAGAGTAAATAGAATACTTTTTCTGTAACGTCATACCAAATTATTTCGTCTTTGAAATTAACTATACTTAGATTCTGTAAATAAAAATTAATATATTGAAATATTAGTTTATGAATACAATTAACATGTATCTAATCTTAAAGCAGTATCAAAGAGCTGCATAAACACTGAGATTAATTGCACTTTACACATTTACAATAATGATGTTTTTGGTCCAGTGCTGTTATTGTAGTAAATTACTGTAATTTTAAGAAAATTTTTATTGGAAAAGATATGTTACAATTATGTATGAAATTATTTATTACACAGCACTGTCAATTTTCTCTTGCTATTTTCCAAACACTCTAGTATTTTTGGTTTCAGTTTTACAAATGTATCCTTACCTCAATTAAAGAATGATAATCCTTACTAAGTTGTATAAAATCACAGTTTTCATTCTCCAGGTGTTTTGTTATTGACACTTTTAAAGCTCTAACAACAATTCGGAAACACCATAATCCACTCTTCTAGAAACAATAGCAAAACTTATTAATTTAAATCTAACTTTAAAACAGTTTCCTTTTTACAGTTTTTGTATATATATAAAATGTTCTATATAATATACTTTGAATGTCTGTTACAAAAACTAGTTAATATTTGAACCAGAAAGTTAGGTTTGAGTTTTTAAATTCTTGTTCACCACAGGTCTGTTATGCCAATTATATCTCTTCTGAAGACCACCTGGGCATATTTTGATTGGAGTATTTTCACACTGAACCCAATAATATATGATTTGTAGATATTTTTCTTCAATAAAAGTAATATTCAATAAATCAACCAAACATAAATTTTCTTATTTCATTTGACTTTCTAATTTTCCACAATTCCTGCAAAAGGGTCATATATATACTTCTTCAAACATTTTGACATCTTTTAAAAAATAAAAAAATAAGCAATATTACTAATTGCTATTGTTACGACAGCGGAAGTCATGCAACGCTGTGAGCATGTGCGCTGGAGTTTCTCGAAGGACCATGAATTTTCCTGGCAACTCTAGTTTGTTCGAGACACCCTCTTTTTTTAATATATAAGCCTGGCGAGAAAAACCAGCACGATTGAAGAGATATAAAGAGATATGCAGATAGAATAAAGAGATATATAATTGAATCAAGCAAACAGTAGGCACCATAAGTAAAGTGTGTGAATCACTGTGATTTATAGCGTGTGTTATAAAGGTTGTTAAGTTGAAAGTGACTGTGGAAATTCTGTGTATTTCAAAGTTGTATCGAGAAAGAATAAACTAGTTTTAATCAAGAAAGGACCTGTACAGCTGAAGTTTCTCGGAAAGAATATCTATGGGAATTTAACAGACAAGCAGCTACACAACACTATCAATGATAATATTATATTGTGATCAATCTACTACAATAATACTCAATTTCTTTCTGTTCTGAAAATGTGCACGCACCTAATTATCTAAATGTATATGCACTTTAGTAGACATATTGTACAACATATTAAAAGATTATCAAAGTTTTTAAAAACATCTAATGTTACGTTGTAGAATAACATTATAAGTTTATTTATTGATAGTATTAAGTATGGTAAAGTATAGCCCTAATTACACTAAAGCAAAAAATGTACCCAAGTTAATGTGTTAATTTATCTCTTTGGCAAATATAGGCCTTACTTAATAAATGGTTAACTAATGTTGTGATAAAGATACTAATCTGACCCCAAATGTTTTGTGAGTCTCCAATAATTAGCAGTTAAAATACACCTGAGTGTGATAAAAAATTAGTTACCACTTGAAATAGCCTTCAACAAGATATGAATTAATTAATAGAGCAAGAAGAATAAAAATTTTTACATTTTCATTAACAAAATACTTCACACCAACCATTCAGAATGATTTTACTAGTTTCACAATTGTTCAATGGTATTGTGATTTTGAAATAATTAGTCGTTTTTCCATTTATTAACAGCCACATGTGAATATAGAATATATAATTCACATGAACTAAATGTATCACTATATAGGGAAAGTATACAATTGATGAAAAATTCTAAGGGTATATGAGTTAGCAATATGTTTCTGAATACAATTGCTAAATTACAATATTTTTTTACTTTTATCCATAATCCTGTTATATTTTGTAAAAAAATATATTTGAAAACATCAAAAACAGAAGTTGTCTGTGCACTTACTTTTGCAATAGCTGCTAAGACTTCAAATGACTTAGCATCCATATCAGGGAACACCAAGGCTTCTTCAAAAGTACATTCCAAAGTTGAGCATTTAATTATTGTCTTGGCTTCAAATTCATAAAGAAGAAGAAGCTTTAAAGTTGGAATTTTTTTCATATCATCACCCACTGCACTATTGGTTTCTAATATTCCAACTAACTGTTTGCATTCGGAGGTAATGGCTAAGACTTTCCTAAATGTAAATTCAAACATATACAGTCGCTCATACTACTGTTTGATCTGTAATATTAGAAAAGAAATGGATACTATCTTTGAAAAAGCTCACAACACATATTTGAATACTGTTACTAAAGGGTACATTGATAATGTCTTCCATCTCATAATAACATGAAAAAAACTGTTCAAGAGAATATCATCATTAATTACCTCAGCAACATAAAATTAGGCATACAGTGATAGCACTGAATCTTTAATAGACTGCATGATGGATGGTGGATTGAAGGATTCAGCACTTATCCAACACAAACTTATCAAACTTATCCAACACAACACTCCAGACAAATGCAGTTTATTAAAGTTTTAATAAAAGTACTACCTTCTCTTCCAAGCCTATAAGTCTATTATTACAGGATAATATTTATTTTTTATTACAAGATCACAAAGCTAACTAATAATACTTACACAAAGAATTAACAGGCACAAAACTAACCTGAATTGGATACATAAAAAGAAAATACTGTTAGCTTTGAAAAATATGAAAATATATTTCGATAAGTACTTATCTCCTCTACATTTATAGCTATTCTCGTTCAGTGCTGCCCTCTATATGCAAAAAGTTTTTTGCATTCTGCTAGCCTTGAATACCCATGTACCCCACAATCAACATGGTTCAATACATTTCACATGTAAATTGTCATGCGACAACCTTCCACCAATAGAGGTGTGACATACCCTCCCGATGCATGTGACTTTCTTTGTTTGTTTCTACTGACATATAACTTCAAGACTTGGCAGAAAGGAAGCACTGGTTTTAAGTGGGGAGAAAGGGTGAGAAGTGTGAAAGGAGGTTAAAACCTATTGGAAATATATTTTCAGTGTAAAGAAATAGTAACTTCTGATACAGTAGCTTACCTCCGCTCACTAGAATCCCACATTGAATAGGTGGAGGGACTGGTGCAAGGGATATAAAGAAGTATCCTACAAAAGCATATGAAGAACACTCATGAAGTGTGATTCCCATTGGGAAAGGAACACGCATGGGAGACTGCACCACTCCTGAACCAGGGAAACTCAGCACCCAGTGTAGAAATAAGTGTTGCATACATAGATGGAGCACACTTAAGAACACAATCAAAAAGGGAATGAAAAATCAGGTGGGTGCAAATTCAAACCACAAGATATCTTAATCTCATTCCTGGTGAAAAATGACTATAGAAGAACCATCCAAAGACAAGAATGTAGGGAAAGTGAAAATGGATGTGCCCCAAGGTGTAGAGTGGCTAGGGTGCATTGGACCATATGCAGCTAGTCAATTGCAGTCCAAAACCAAGTGGCATTGGGAATAACAAATTTGACCCATGGTAGGAGGAAGTTCCACACTGTCTTGACATCAAGTTGAGTCAAATGGAAGTAAATACTTTTTCAAACTGAACTATGAAACGGGACATGTGTGCAAATCCATCACCATAACCATACATCCCGGAAACTGACATCCGAATGATGGTAGGAAGGGATGTGCCAGTGTGGCAGTTCACATCAAATTAAACCCAATTGGACTGGAACCCTACTATACAACAGTGGACTCAGGTACGGGAAGCTCTCTGAGGTGGAGTGCTAGAGAGAGAACCTTTGCCCCAAACAACATCATCCTCTTGATAGGACTGCAACATGAACTTCTGGGACCCACTGCACTGAGGTGGAGAATAGGTGGCAAAATTACGAAAATTGAGTTAAGATAAAGAATCACAATCAATACATGTGAGGATTTATGTTGATTAGTCCAACTCTAACTCAAAACCACTCACTGGGAATGGACATCCAGGTGATGGTAGCACAAGGGATCCCAATTGGAAGGGTGCACTGCAATGTGATGGATCTACTCCAAAGCAATATCATCCTCCGGATAGGACTGCACAACAGCTGGAACACAACATCAACCTCTGGATCCAACTGCACAGAAGTGGATTGTTTCTATAAAAGATATGCAACCTCACCCTTCAGATAAAACTGCACAAAAGCTGGGTGCTAGGAGAGAAAGAAGTCCCTTGATTGTGCAGCCAGGTGAGAAAATACGTAATATGAGGAATTGTGGCTGAGAAAGGGAAAAATCTATACTCAAACACTAACAGTGGAAGACATTACATTTACGTTCATGCAACTACAGAGAGGAAGGTAAAATGGTCCAAGCTAAAATGGAGGTGAGATACTAAATAATCCAGAACACCTTCTTAGGGACCTGATAAATGCCAGGCATGAAGTTGGAGGGTGTGAAGGGAGGAATGAAGGACTGATGACTGAGGTTGATGGATTAGGGTTGGAGAGAAAGAGGCAATGGGGGTAGTCTGGAGCTGAATGAGATGAAGAAACCAAGGTTGCACTGGCCAGTAAGGAGCAATCAGAAGAATCTAACATAGAGTGGCATTGATGATCAAAATCATCCTGGGAAGGAGTAGGATGGGAGGGTAAACATAAAGGTACCAGTTGGTCCAGTCCTGACTGAAAGCATATACAGCCAGGGCCTGAGGATGAGGAACCAAAAAAGAGGTAACTTGGTGCTGAGAAAAGTGGCAAAATCATCCAGATGAGGAGTACACCATTGATTGCATAGCTATCTGAAAACCTGAGGGTCAAGAGATCATTCCATGGGATAAACCTTGTTGGGTCTGGAAAGGAAATCTGCCATGAGGTTTAAAGCACCCATAACATGACACAAAAGGAGACAACTGTACAAAAAATGAGTTCTAATGCTTGACTAAAAAGGAACAGGAACAGGTGCCTTCTTGGTGATTGATATAAGCCATGACCATGGAATTGTCTGAATGGATCATGGCAAGTTGGTTCTGTACAATAGGAAGAAAATGATCCAAAGCATGATATACTACCAGAAGCTCCAAGATGTTTATATGGTAAGACTTTTCAATTGGGGACAACTGTCTGTAGCATGGAAGCCTCCTGCTGATTGATCCACACACCCCAACCATGTAGAGAAGCATCTGTGAATAGATGCAAATCCAGATGAGGTGGAGGAAGTGGTACTCCTATCATCATGTTGTCCTTGTTCAAACACCAATGCACATTGCCTATAAAGGGAATAGGAAGGGTAATTAGGGATTGGTTGTGCAGAGTCCACTGAAGAAAATGCATATGTGCCTGACCCAAGTACCCAAAAGCAATATAACTTCACATGCAGAAAGAAAGGAGCAGCAAAAGCATGGAGAACTGACAGTGTCATCAAACAGAGATGAAGTGAAAATAGTTGGTCTGAACTGATGTGAGTGTTGAAAAATACACCCAAGTGGATAAGATATTGGGTAGGCAAAAGGAAAGAATCCAACCAATACAAGTTAATCCTACCAGTAGCAGATGTGTGTGTTGAGAAGACTCCAGTTCAGAATGAGCTAACAGGACCAACTTGTCATTGTAGTGGTGTAAACACAACCCTTGATCATGCAGAGTTGGGCAAAGGCTCTGACCACCAAACAAAATACATATGATGCTGAATCAAGCCTGAAAGGTAAGGCACAAAACTGATACACAACCCTGTAGTTTACAAACCAAAGATAGCATCTGAACTGATGAGAAATATCAACATGTAGATAAGCAATTGAGACATTTACCTTGGTCCTATAGAAAATGCTCACCTCTGTGAGAAAGGACTCCATGGTAAATTGGGGAGATCCAAAAATTGGTTGAGGCTGGACAGATTGATCACAGATGCCAGTCTCCAGTTTTTTTGGGAATGAGAAAAAGCCTGGACTAAAAATCTGAGGAAAGGCTGACTGACAGGATCGATAGCTTTCAGTGATAGCAGAGTCTGCACAGCCTCAGATAAACACTAACTAGTAGCAGGATTCCGAGGTAATGGGAAGAATATCAGTACAGGAGACAATGGGGTGAAGAAAGTAAATGGATGAAAAGTAGTGAATTCCTGCCATGGGAACAAAATCAGCTTGATTGTGGGATACCTGTGAATTCAAGGTAGCACTGAACATGTAAGCAGAGGTAAGATACCGTATTAGAACTAGACTTTTTTGCTAGTTGCTTCTCAGAACAGAAAACAAACATTTAATGTTAGCTCATTGAGCTAACAAATGTTTTCATCTTGTCAGCCTAGTGACAAAGAGAAAATACAACAAAAAATTTTAATACAGAGAAACATCAGTTTATTCACAAAGGATATGGAAATGGTTTATGCTTCTCATGTGTGAGATTATACTCTAAGCCCATCTATAAAGTGACATGGGGAACAAAAAGCAAATAGAGCTCATAAGTTCTTGGGAATGTTTTTCTTATAAAAGTAATATGGATAATGTAATTTCTTTTCAGACTCTATTGATTCCTCATCTGGAGGTCAGACAGCAGATGTGTTATTCTTACTACAGAAACATTATCAATATATTGAAAAAGATCACAGAGATGAGATAATAGAATAATTACTATAATTAATAGAATAATATCTAGCTCAAGAAATATGAACAATATAAGGAAAGGTTTAACTCGGGTGTTTAAAAGTAGAGTTGGAAAATATTACTGTAGGTAGTCTATTTGAGTGGTGAAATGAAAACATTGGAAATATTAACACTATAGGTAATAATTTAATATTTGGGAACCTATAGATGCAGACTTGTTTTTCAATAAAATTATTTTTGGATTAATTATAAACTTGTTTAACAGTTTGTCTGATTATTTGGTATGTGTCATAATGTGAATTCTGTTAAATGTTCATTCAACAGAAATATGAATGTGAAGAACTGCAATGAATTTCATTTTATGAGGACGATCCTTATGGACCAAATGGTCTTTGAATGTTTTTCTTATATTCTTATGCCTAAAGTAAATCATAAAACTTCTTTCCATAAGCAAATTAATTAACTATTCTTTACTAATATTAAAGAAGTAAATATACAAAGTTAAACAGTAAATTTAAAAATAATATACTAAAAAGCAAAAAATAAGTTTTCTTTGTGAATTTGACCTGAAAACTTAATCATATGCTGAAAAGTGCATTAATGATAATATAACATGACTACCTATACTCAAAATACATATTAATTTTAAGAACTTAGTCAATTAAACAACAGTTTTTACTATATAAACAATAGGTAGGAGGTAATAAGAAAATGATACAGCTGGGATAAGTGATGGGGAAAAAAGAACCTGGAAATTACTAGTAACCTGGTAATGGTTTCTCTAACTTCGGAATTACTTTCCTGATTAGCTGCATTAATTCCAGAGGCTGCAGCCATTAGCAGACAGGTCTTGTAACGAATCTGACTAGCAGCATCAATGTCTATGTTGCAAATACTTAAGAAATGACAGCACTGATTAAACAAGTCAAACATAACATCTGAGGGTACATCAGATTGTAAAGCTAGGTTCCAGCACACTTTCATGTACCAACCACTTTCTTCTTGGATATCAACACTGTTGTTCTGATCCTGAGAAAAATTGTTTAAAGAAATTTGCAATTATTAATTTTCAAATGAAAAAGGCTAACAATATTTGCCCATAATGTATATTTATGAAATCTACAAAACTAATAAACAATACGTCAATTTGAAAATTCAATCAAGGTAACTAGTTTAACATTAAAAATAGGATAACATTTAAAATTCAAAATGAAAATTTTATTTGGCCTATGACCAAATGGAAGTTTTATTGTGCATTTTAAAAGTTGGTTTTATTTTAGTTTTTGATACATTACTTTATAATAGTGTCATGCCTACTGAACGTCTTCAATGCACCTAAGTAAAAATGTTTCATATGTTTAACACAGATCCCATATAAAACTCTCAACAGTGTATTTACCAAAATTTTAAAAATAAGAATAACATTAAATTGTAGAACTTTTATATTTAACTCATTATTAACCAAATGTGCTCAGAATCAGTTCACTAGACAGACCTCTATTGAAGAAGGAATGTTGATAGAAGTTCCAAATTTACTATGTGTATCTACACAAAATATAGCAAGCTTTTAGTAAAATGTACAACTATGTTGTACAAAAAACAAAAAATCAGATGTGTTACAAAAATATTTGTACTCATGATATATCTGTGAATTGATGATGTTAGTCCAACTCAGACTCTGAAAAGTTGAAGCCCAAAATGTTGTTCATGTGAAGAATAAAAATACTTTTGTCCATCATACAGTTTGTATGTCACATTTGCATAAGCTCTATAGCCTCCAAAATGTATATCAACAGCTTTTCTCAGTATCTCTGTATACTGTATCTGATACTTACTCCCCTCTACAATGAACTGTCAGTAAATCAGAAAAAGTAAGGTAAAATGAATAGCTGATAACTCTGACATCAAATACATAATACCATGTTGAATGGCACTTTGTAAAAGGTTGTGAACATGCACCTCGACTTCCACCATGCACATAGGGTTAATATACTATTTGAATTATCATTTTAATGTAAAAATCATAGTTTGAAACATTTTTCTTCTGGTTTAATTGAATAATTTAAATACACTATGGAGTTTACATATTCTGCAAAAAAATATCAATTAATGAACAAATATTAATACAACTTCAATTTAGATTAACAAAAATGAAATTGAAAAAATATATAACCTAACAGTTGCTTAAAAATGTATAAATTATTTAGGAACAGGAGATATATGTAACTTAAAAATAATCTTAGTTATCATCCATTAACATATAGTAACTGTTACAAAATATTTCATTAATATTTCCTTTTCATACGTTTTTATACAATAATGTATATTTTGCTAGTTGAGTTGCTTTTAACTGGAACCAAATATTAGTTCAGCTTTGAAACACTGACCTTTTGTATATCCAAAAATAATCCAGCCTTATTCACACAACTCAGTATGTCTTTATAGACATGATTGCCATTTTCTGAAATAATATATTCCAATATGTTTTATACCTTATTTCATGAAAGTCAATTTACAAAAAGAAAATTCTTTTTTTTAACTGTATGATATACATGAACTACAAAAATTTCAAAAACTGATATTAAAGCATTAAAAATACATTTGACCTTTGAATCAATTAAAATCCAAAATAGCTTGTCAATAATTGTGCCAGTTGATCAAGAGAAAGCAGTAACCCTGATCTTTGTATGTTCTGAGTTATGAAAAGATCACCAAGAAATTTAGTTGAAGTTGGCAAGCACATATTAATTATTCTTGCTGAAATTGCTTTGATTCCCTTACAGTAAATTTTCGTTGTCATGCTCTATGAAGCTTTTAGCTATATAAATGATTATTAAGAAGGGACTAAAAACATGTCTTACTAAAGCTAAGTTGAACACCCTATGTAATAATGTTAAAGTTTGAAAATAAATTTGAGAACAATTATCAAATTGTTTTGTATCCTATAATCAAAATGTTCTCCTTCTAGTGCTCAAGTCAAAGCTGCTATGTGATACACTTGTTAAAGCTTTTAATTCTGAATGTGATGATTAAATTAGCTTTTGTCTTCTGCCCTCACATCCATTGCACAGGAGACACTTCAACTGCTGGCCTATTCCGTTAGAATTACTTTGCTGGACAACCCATAGCCACAAATCCTGAATGCATTTTTTGGTCTCAGAGATGTATTAGATTGGATGTTAAGGTTGATATTTGATTTTAGATAGCATCGAAGTGTATCAGTTATTTCTTATTATATTTTTATGAAAAATATCGTGATTTTATATTTCACTTTCCATTTTTGAGTATTATATTTGTATCTAAGATATTCATAAATAATTCATGTTCATCAAAATGTAATATCTGCATGAAGCATCAGACATATTGAAAAATTTAACAAAAACACACTGAGCAAAATCTTTAACTTTTTCTGCAATTAATTTTTTTATTCATGAGATTTCACCATTCTACATTCCATGTGCTTAGACCTGAGTTGATGTGGCTAATGCAATAGGAGTTGGATTATAAAATATGTCTGCAGGAGTTTAAGGATCCCCTGCTTCAACTGTGACTTATGTGATCATTTGTTACATGAATATACAAATCCTGTTGTAAGACAGAAGTATCAGGTTAAAGTGACATTCCAACCAATACCACAGCATATGCAGAAAGATAATGCCATGCTATGACTGGAGCAGCTTCGACTAATTTAAACTAGTGAACCTATGTTGGATATGGTTATTTTCTCAAACAGACACAGTAGTCAGCTTCCACCCAATGCTATGATGGCTGTTTCATATTACAATGGATTTGGCATCAGGTGCACAGTATGTGCCATTAATGATATATGGACACAAGGTTGAACTTCTAGTAAAGGATGTCACTCACATATATCAAGTACACCAACAACAGTCACCTCTTCTCTGAGAGTACAAAGTTCATTATGGTAAATGGCACAAGCTAGATGTGAGTTGAAGTTTTGTTCAGGCATTGTATCTCGGAGAATGAATAACTTGCAGCCAGTTTTGTTGGTGTTGCAGGTGAAATAAATTTCTGTGATAAAAACATTCAGTATTGTTCAGATTATATCTAAGAAGAGAGGACAGCATGCATGCATTTTGAGAAGGAGGTAGTGATACCAGTGAATGTGCAAGTGGTGTTTTATAGTATACTGTAAATACAGATAGTACACTGTCACTGTTTGTTATGGAAATAAAACTAATGAAAAGCAGGATGCACATTTTGAAATAAATATGCAGTTTCATGAGCACCTAAAGCCTCAGGCTGAGGACACTGCTATCTGTTTAATCTGAACAAAGTTTGCTGATAGCAGGACACTGCTATCTGTTTAACCTGAACAAAGTTTGCTGATAGCAGGACACTGCAATCTGTTTAACCTGAACAAAGTTTGCTGATAGCAGGACACTGCTCTCTGTTTAACCTGAACAAAGTTTGCTGATAGCAGGGATGAAGTGTCTACTGATCCTATACATATTACATTGGTCAATGACTACTCCTAGCCTGAGATTGAATTGATATCTACAGTTATTTATGTTTCACATAATGTTATACTATGTTATGCTATAATATATAAATCACATCCACCAGTGCCGAAAAGGCCTTTTGCTCAATACCAGGACTCATCAGGCTGGCTGGAATACTATAGACATATAGTGGTCCAGGTGTTATATGCATCATCAATTTTCATGAACAATAACTGTTTGGGTGTAAATCAGATTATGCAAGTGAATTATAATCTTTATCAGTTTCATTTAAGCTTTTTACAAATCAGATTTCAGGCATGAATTAATAACACAACATTACAATTTTCTACTTGAACTTCTTATTATTTTATTTGAATTAACTGCACTATCATTCATAAGAGAAAGTGAATTAGCAAGCTAATTTTTTGTTCCCCGAGTGGTTCATGCAACCACAACATCAATGGGAGAAAACTACATTTAGTAATTCTAAGAACCCATGTGTGAAAGCAAAGTAGAATATTGTTACGTCTCTGTTGGTTTGTTAATTTCTTGTAGAAGTTATTTCCGAGAAACTTCAGCGATACAAGTCCCTTCTTAAATAAAACTAGTTTATTCTTTCTCAATACAACTTTGCAATACACAAAATTTCCACAGTCACTTTAACTTAACAAAAGCTATAATTCACAATGATTCACACACTTTACTTACGGTCACTACCGCTTGCTTGACTCAATTATTTGTGTTTATATCTCCCTATTTGCCATTTTATTTCTGCTTATTTGGTGGGCTTATATACTAAAATAGAGGGCGCCTGGAAAAGACTAGAGTTGCCAGGAAAAGTCATGATTATTCTAGAAACTCATGACGTGTTACCAGCATCACAGGACTTCCACTGTCTTTAACACTGCCCTTTCCTTAGAATTGTTCATCCTGAACAATAACCACTTACATTAAACCAATAGATAATTAACAATAACTTGATTAAATGTACAGAATTTACAAACACAAAATTAAAATTCAACAAAGTCTCATAATTTTACGAGACGTAACTTCTTCCGTACTGGTCTCTGCTTCATGTGGAGTTCATCTGCTCCATCAGGAAATATCCTATTATCGGTAACAGTCACATCAGTGGTAGTAACTTCATTAAGGGCTTCACTGTTTCCCTTCTCAAAACCGAATAGAGTTTCTTCTTCAACAGTGGCCTTTCCAGGTGACACGTCTTCAGTGGCATCTTTTGTTCTGTTGTTCACTTCGTTCCAATTGAATTGTCCTGGACCGTGATAACGCCAAATCCTGTTGGCATGCACCACCTTTGGCTTACCTCGCCGACCACGTTTTATTCGGAAAATCATGTCT